TAGAGAAAAAATTTGGTTCAATCAACGTAACGAGTAGAGTTCAGTTAACCGCGACAAAGTATACGAAGAGGATATGCCTCTTTGCGCCTGTTTCTGAGTAAGCACTCAAACGGTAGTACGAAATTAGCGCTCGCCTCTTGACTCAAAACGAACCAGTTGCTGCAGTGGACTCTAAGAGTGCTGCGGTACGGCAACAAAATGGCCGGCCTCAAAGTTTGAGTCAAGAAAGTGCCGGTTCGAATTATGAGAAAGGAAGATCTTTGTTTTAACCGCCAATTCCTATTGCACTTGGCAGACGATCTGATAGCTGACCATCTGATAACTGTTATGTCAGTTATATTATATATATGCATAAGTTAAGATGATGCGTTGCAAACAAGCTAGTTTCAAAGTAGACTAATTGAAACTTGACTAAGCAGTCATTTCAGATACCACGGTTGTCAACGATGATATGGAAATATGTAATTTTATACTTATATGTACATTTATTTATCTGTGGTCTTCGGGTCATCAATCATGAAATCGGAAACAGAGGTCGCTTTCGGCCTTCCACGGCATTAAATCGGCATGCTTTACAAATCATTTTATTTATTCAGCCTCCGCCAATAACAAATTCAATAGCGAATCATTTCTGTGCAGTCATAAGTCTTCGTCAGCATGTAAGATACAATCTTTATCAGATTTCAGCTTGGCGCGCTACCGACTGTGTTCTAAGACCTATCACATTCACGTACCTGCCAAGCATTTTTGCTTGATGTTTTTGTAGCGGTTTCTCTTGTTTAGCATCCATCAACGCATAAATAATCTCTTTGATAAGTAGAGTGAAATATAGATAATATATCAATGCTTTAGAATCGATTACTGGGCAAGAAGGGAAGTGATCTACTGGAGTGCTTTCCCAAAGCCATCAATCAATTTACGGTATCATAACCACCGGAACTGGTATGTATTATTAATTTCCTTGAAGTATCATTCATCATCGATTACGATGCTTTCAAGAACAGGCGTGCCTGCTATTAGTAAGCATACGATGATGCAATGATTTCAGAAGTTCCGTCAGGCATGCTGATTTTCGTCTGCCCTTTGCAACGCTGACTATTGAAAGTGAGCCGGCAACGGCTGCTTTGAACATGCTGAATCATTTCGCTGCTTTTGAAGTTTCAGCTTGGCAAAATGAGGCGAGGAAGCTGGAAAGACGTTCATCTCAGCAAGTGTGGCAACGGAAGCACAGTCGAAGCATCGAGGGTTTGAATCCTCTCGAGGGATCAACCCTTTCATTTCTCTGAAGTAGGAACGCGATGCAAAGCATAGGACAACAAACCAGACTTTCGACACCAATTTCTTTCATAAACAAGGCACGTCCGGGCTGATGGTATCAAGATGAAAGTCAGCACCGCACTGTGAGTTCTTTCAAAAGAACTCAGACTTCTTCCCTAAATGTATATTTCACCGAAACATTTACTGACGTACTTCAACGACAGTAGAAATAGTACGTTTACTGCAGTACTCAATATACTGAGTATTTGCATGCTACGTTAGTGGTAATACCGAGAGCAGCATTAAACATGACTTATTTTTTCGCCCTCGCAAACAATTCTGTCAATTGGATGACGGAAGGGTACTGACGTTTCGTCTGTGTCTCACTACCTTCATCAAGGTTAAGATGTAAATGAGCTTCGGAGGTCCTACTGAATGTCTGCGGCTGTTTGTACGCTCAGAGGCGGAAGTCAAGTTTTGTTGTCCGTGCTGTCGGCTTATGAGTTTTCTACGACAATGGCAATAAGACTCGTTCAGTCCGCGCAGAATTCGTATCCTATGTCACCCCTTACATTGTCGCTAAGGTGAGTGATTAACGCCTTACTTACCCTCCTGTTCAGTCAGTGTCTATCTTAATGACACCACTGCACTCTAACCGTAAGGAAGCGTGTCCTTCCTTGCCACATGTTGCACAATCCCGCAAGTCCTTCTGCACTGATCCTTGACATGACTTTGTTTTCGTCGAAAAACCGGGAAAGTAGATTGACCCATTATGCATGAGTA